GTACGGAGCGCATTGCAAGCCATTTGCTGAGCTTTGGGTGAACTGCACGGCAGCAAGGCAATCAGGCCCTTGTATACCTGGACAGATTGAGTTGGGCCCTTAGTTATAACAGCAACACACAACTATTCGTTTTACTTTAAGTATGAGTTTGATCGGTGACTGTTTGTTATAGCAACAAAAACATTGCAGCAATGATCTCCTTTTTGACATGAAGGTGTGTTAAAATTAAATCTCCTTTCCGAAAGGTTTGTGTGGGCTTTGAGGAGGAAAATTAGTTTGTATACAACAACTGGAGTAAATTTTTTGGAAAAAAGTCGAGTAGACCTAACATGAGTGCTACTTTACTCTTACGCCATGATGAGAATTTGGGTGATGAATGAGCTAGATCTGATATTTTCGGTTCCAATTCTAATTCCTTTTTTGCCGAACAAGCGATCATCATTTTCAATTTTCTCAGTATGCTGAGACTTTCAGAATGATTGGGGTATTTTTGCCGAGATACAGGTGTAGTACTAGTGTAGCCAATCTGCTTAAAATTCCTTGTTCATGGTGACAAGTGTTGTGCTCTCTGCATGCTGCGTGGGTGGAAAGTGTTAAAACTGCAGTCTGATAAGACGAACAAGGAAATCTTTCAAAGTAAGAGATGTCGGTTACAACTGTTTTCATTTTCCTCAGCCAGGACAAGATATAATACAGGTACCTGGTTCTGATACTTGGGGTTTCCTTGTGCCAACATCAGGAGAAGATTTCTGCAGGCGTCTTGAGTTTCCTCTGACTTTGACTTTGCGAGACATTCTGCCACAGCTCTAATACCTGTTTTGTAAAGGGCAGGAAGTCAATACACGCAAAGATCCCATCCAAAGCCAATCACTTAATGTATTCTGAGTTTATGTACAGAGGAGCTAAAGCCGCACTAAAAGAAAACAGAGTTTAACTAAAAAGCTCCCAAAACTCATCTTAAACATTTGCACTATTAGATGCGTTCTTGATATGAATGCTGTAAAAAAATTTGTCAGAGTTTTACCCTCCCATCAACATTATTAGAGTGATTTGGGAGGCAGGCTGTTTCAACGCTGTCAGTCAGGGCCAACCTAGGCTGAGAGGGATAATTCAAACTCACTTTTGGGTGCAACAGCAAATTATCTTACCGCAACACCACAGAGGCCTGTATGAATGCTGTGTTAGAACTGAAGAAAGCACATTGAACAAAAGCATTTAAAAGGCTTTTTGTTGAACATGATCAGACTTTTGATTTAACTATGAGAAAGGGTCAAAATTTTTCTTGCCTTTCTGTGAATATTTCCCTTCAGTCCACAAGTCCTTTCAAGGAATATAAATGATTTTACCTTTGAGTTCGAGTGAAACTATACTTTAAATTCTTGATTTAATTTCGTTATAGTAGGTGTTTCATGGCACTTGCAACACAAATAAGACTTCTACGTGCTCAAGATTAGACACGTTACCTGAGAGTAACATAAAAAGAAAAGGAGGAGAGATAAGGAAAATAAAGGGGTTTTATAGGAGAAAAAAGCAAACCATATCAGAGTGCCTGCTAAACTCTACTGTAGCTAAGTCCTCAACTTCAGTTTAAACAAATGAAAAAACTGACCTAAAAGACGACAGAAACAGAAACAATATTATATGCCTTGTTTATCAAAAAAAGGAAAAGCCGACCTACCATAACTCTCACAAATTAGCTCCTTGTACTTTCTCCCAGCATTGGCAATGTGGTGAAGGCATTTGAGGGCCTCGGCTTTGTCATACTCCTTGGCTTGCTTCAACCCAATAATCTCTAGGAGCGTTAGGATCCCGCCAACTTCCATGAACTCAGCCATGAACTTGTGCCTGTTCATATTTGGGTGTAAAACAATACAGTTTGCAAAGACATGCATTCTTGAAGTTTTAATTTCGGAAACTTGTATTCGCTATGAAATGTTAATCATGATGAGCAGGTTTTCATAAGCGTTATTAAAAAAAAGTTTATTATGTTAAACATTTGAAAGCCGTTGATTTCTGAAAGGATCGACAAAAAAGATGTCGAATGTAGTAATAAAAAGTTTCCTCAAATGGAAAGTATTAGTGATACAGTCAGTTAGTTTAATCAGAAAAGAAACATGAAAGTTATAATTTGTGACAATCATGCCATGCATTGAGACACAGACTATAAACTTTTATTGCTACAATTTAGCTCTTTCAGCACGGGACTGTAAGCATGTTTTTGGAAATCTTGTTTGGGTGAAATTGTTTACTCGTAAACAGAGCCTGCATGGAGCACTGAGATAAATAAAACAAATGAAACAGTCTGAGCATTTCAAGACAACCACCATACAGTATAGCAGTGAGAGCATACAACCAAGGATCAGATGGAAACAGAGGAAGAGGTGGCCCAGGAAAATATGAGTAGAGGGGGTCAGAGAAACATAAAACAAAAACAAACAACCATGCAACAAACAATACAACAAATAAAAAAAGGATGTTTACTTCTCCCCTCAACACCTTAAGGTCACAGTTAGAGACTTGAAAAAGTAACAGTAAAAGTAAGTAAAGTAACTGCGGGCCTATATATAAACCACTGTTCCAAGCCTAGGGTGTACTACAGGGACATGGTCATGTCATACATCCTATCAAAGGAAATTGAATGCATTGACTGATTGAGAGAAAAAATATTAAAACTATTTTCTGTTTAGCTTTACTGACAGTGATTTTTACAGCTCTTTTTAACATGTAGGTTTATGAAACTGAATGAAATCTGGTGACTCTGTTAAAGCATTACGCCATGCACATTATCTACACTCACCCGCTTGATGCAGATAAAAACACAGTCAGTGACTGAAGCAGCTCTGTCAGACAATTCCCTGTCATATATCTGAACCATTAAGGGAAAATTGAGTTTCACATACAAAGAAAAAAAAACAACCATGTTGCCAATAGCTCAATGGGATACCTAGATCTAAAGGGCTTATAATATATTCCCAATTTTATACATTGGTAGTGCTTTTCGTCGCATTTAAACAAATCTTCGTAAAACTGCACACAACACTGTCATGGTTTTGTACAAACTGCAATAGGAATTGTACAAATCATGGCAAAAAATATTCTTGAATTTATAGTGGCATCAGATGTCTAGGGTGGTGGGCTCACAATCGCAAAGTCATATATGGGTTAGAAAAGGCATTTTACAAAAATCTTTCCCTCTCCACGCAGGTGGGAATGAGTACCTGGCTATAGGCAATGAGAGATTGTATCGCGTTATTAGTTTTTAAGCTCTTAACTGGCTGCTTATACGGTAAGCTTCTCTCAAAGCTGAGAATGTTTCCAAGACATCCAATAGTGTTCTACACATAATTTGCTCGGGAAATGGTCTGATAGCACATAGCGCTTCCTTTTGAGAGGGGATTTGTGCTATACAAATGCTATGCGTACGGCAGGGCCTTAGGCATAGCCTCACGAGCCGTACGCATAGGCTATGGCATAGACATGCCGTTAAACTTAGAAATGACGCATCTTTCTGATTGGCTGCTAATTTTAGTAATGTAATGTCATCACTTCCTGGGATACCCACATGGAACGACGTGTTTTCGGTAACATTTCGGATTTTCTAGCCTAGAATAGATCTAGATCTATT